AAAACTATAAAAGATTTTAGGACTCGTCTATCAAATGCAGAATAAATGAGTAATCAAGTAGCATTTGAGAAGATCACCAAAAAGATGACATTTGCAGCGAAGGTTTTGTTATAGATGTTTAGAATCATTTATTGTAAAAATATGTTTCATATTTTGTATTGTCAAAACTGTTTATGAATCGTTTACTGTAAAAAATATTATTTTTATGCTTTGTTTTGTTAGAGCTGTTGAGAATCATGTATTGTATAAAATATTATTTTTATGCCTAGTTTTGTTATAGCTGTTAAGAATTGTATCTCATAAAAATATTTTCTTAGTTTGTATTGTGAAAGCTGTTAAGAATAACTTATTATAGAAATATTGATTTCATAATTTGTATTGTCGAAGCTGTTTAGAATCATTTATTGTTAAAATATTAGTTTCATACTTTGTATTGTGAATGCTGTGTTATATGAATCGTTTATTATAAAAATGTTAGTTTGTGTGTGTCGCAGTAAGAATATCCACCAGTCCATATCACCCCGTGAGTGTCATTAGAGGCGACAGAGGAAACAAATCAGAACAGGGGGATGAAACTGCCATACAAATTTACAAGAATAAAAAATGCATTGGAAGTTCTGCCCTCTAGTGAACAAGGTACATAAATTTGTAGGCTAGTTTTGTTTAGCGTTGTATAGATGGCGTTAATTTAGCCAAAACCCCAGAATCCAAAGCCAAAAAAACCTAAATCTATGGCAGTTTTGGTCTATGGTTATGGTTGACACACTCGGTTGACAGTTCTTTCCATAGATAAATATATATGTAGCAAGCTAGTTCTTTCTAATAAATACGAATATTATTGCTACGATAATTCAGAAAACGAAAATGTTTTGCAACTTTTCGTTCCTCTCGTACGAATATCATAATTTAGGCTTTATGATTATTTACTAAATTTAACAATAAATGTGGTTGTTCACAGTTTATGCACCAATGTTAACAAGCTGCTAAATGGAAAATTATTAACTACTGATTTGTGATTGTGAAAATGATAATGTTAACACTCAAGCTATTAAATATTATTACATTCATAAAAAACAATAAATACATAATTAAAATTCTGTTCAGTGTTTGATATTAATATTAAAATAAAATCTTATGTGAAATAGATTGTTTTATTAGTGTTAATGTTATCTGCAAAATTACTATTTGAAGATTTAAGATAATCATTGGAGATATCCAATAATTATTATTACGTATGGCAATTCACAATGCTGTGTTAGTACCTACTTTAATGTATGGTAGTGAAAGTTGGGTGTGGCAGAAGAAGCACGAGAGTAGAATAAATGCTGTAGAAATGCGGTCATTAAGGAGTATCGTAGGGATGAATCTGAATGACAGAGTGAGAAATTGTTTAATAAGAGAAGAGTGTGGTTTGCAAGATGATGTTGTGACCAGGATTAAGAAAGGAATGCTTCGGTGGTTTGGCCATGTAGAAAGAATGAATGAGGAAAGAGTGACAAAGCAAATTTATGTTGCAGAGGTGAACGGCATAGTCGGGAAGGGTCGCCCTAGGCGAAAGTTTATCGACCAAATTGGCGATATATTAAAAATGAGCCAAATCAAGAGTACCTTTAACCGACGAGCGTGTATGCGTAGGTATATGGATGTGGAGGAAGCGAGAGAGGTGTGTCAGGATCGTGCCAAATGGAAGTCCATAATCTCTGCCTACCCCTCTGGGTGACAGGCGTGAGTGTTTATATATGTATGTATATCCAATAATTATCTGGTAGAATGCATAAACAGAAACATTATTAATAAAACTGCATAGTTCAGAATTACCAATATAGTCATTGACAAAATCCGCCATCTAGTGGTAACTATGTGGTAACTACCGCAAGCCGCGTTATACTAAGGAATACAGCGGCATCTAGCGTACACGGTACACCCATTCGAAAACTGAAATGTGAGTGGCGCATCTATCCCTGTTATATAGTGTATTATCTATGAATCAGAAGATGGACAGCAGTTCCTTCCTAATAACGACTAAATTTAAAAGCTGCGGTTGGCAAGCTGCTTGCCAAGCGTTGCAACTATGGTAAATATCTCTTCTATGAGGCGATTGTCGAAGCTGTATTCTGATGAATCACTTATTTAATTAAACAAATATTATTTCATATTTTCTATTGTCAAAGCTGTTATGAATAACAAAAGGCCAAGCCCTCTTTTTATCTTTTCGCTAGTTAGATTATTAGTTGCCGGCTTTTTAAAAAGGAGTAGGCTGTTTTCTTGAAGGTCCCTAAGTCGTATCGGTCCGGAAAAATCGCTGGTGGTAATTGATTCCACAAGGAAGTTGTGCGAGGGAGAAAACTTCTTCTAAATCGCACAGTGGTGGACCGCCAACCTAATATCCGTCCGGATGAGAGGTTAGCAGAAAGTCCAACAGGGAAGGTGTATGATCCTCCACATCTGGAATCCGCGTAGGCGAAGTAACCAGTTGTGTCAGACCATATGCCAAAGCATTTAATATTTTTTCAGTTTAATATTTTGTTATATCAAAGCTGTGTTTATGAATATTTTCATATATTGTTTGTGAAAATTTATTGTTAAAGACATTAGTTTAATATTTTGTTATAATAAAGCTGTGTTTCGAATCATTTATTGTAAAAAAATATTGGATTACCGTGTAGTGACAGTCTCAGAATATCCACAACTCCATATTATCATTCCGTGGGTTTTATCGTAAGAGGTGACAGAGGGAAACACATCAGCAGGTGGACTGATCTTCCTAATAACTGCAGTTGCCAACCCACTTGCCAAGCGTGGTTACAGCTTTGGATTGATTCATAACCGTTTAAGTTTATCCTTATGATATTAGCTAACATTTCGTAATGTTAAAGTTTGTTATGATTCATTTATTATAATAAACTCATTCATTTATTAAAATAATAAAATTTACGCTTTTTGTAAAGACACTGTGTTATTAATATATTAATGATATAAACATTAGAATAAAAATATTAGTTTTATGTGTTGTATTGTCAAAACTATGTTAAATCTTTATCAATCTCCTTTATTTTCATTAAGTTCAAAAAATATAGAATAATGTACCAATTATTTGTGTTTAATTTCATTCACGTTAAAACATACTTAATTTCTATTTACAAATTATGAAGCACACTTTATGTATTAGGATTAATTATTAACAACCGACTATTAAATTAAACATTTGAAGCATTTAGTTACTATGCAGTTATCTTTTAAAAATGTTTCAAATGTTAATTCACAGTTGGTTGTTGATAATTAATTCTAGTACATAAACCGTAATGAATTAACATGAACAGAAGTGTATATGTGGAGGTGCATGTGTTATACGCACGCACACATTCTCACAATATTGTGGCGAAACGACACCAGACGGCGCTAGTACTCCTCGGTTGACAGATTTCGCGCGAGTGGGCTCTCTTTTCCTGTATAGGACAGTTACTATACTCTTTGATCTATTTCGAGACTGCAACGTCTCCGGCGCTGCGGGAAGAACAGCCTCTACGCCTCTGCGTAACAAATCGTAGGCATCGGACGAGCTGGAGCTTCGGCGACCAACAAGCCGAAGCTGCGGAGGCGAGGCGGAGGCTGCTCTCCCTACGCGCCTCCGGCTCTATATAACCACTCTAGGGGTAGGACAGACTCGTACCAGGTGGTGTCGGGGTCAATCAATTTGGTTCTTTGACATAAGTAGAACCTAACCTATTTTATTTATTATCTGTCCTAATAGGTACTATTAAAATAAAGCAAATTAAATATAATTAATAATTTATTAATCAATTTTATAAACATATTGTATAACCTTAATTAATTCTTCGAAGACATCTTTATGTGCTATTTTTATTTTTTTTCTTCGATCTGAGATCGATTTTTCAGACCCAAAATATCGTTTTCTTTTAAATCGGTATGCAGTACAGAATCGATCCAATGAATCGATATTTTACCCTTGAAAATCACCATTAAAACTGATTTTACTGATAAGAGATCATTTATTGTATTATCTTTCTTTTTTTTCCATAAGAGTAGCTTAGGTCACCACGCCACCATGAATCGCTTACAGAGACAGTACAACGTAATATCTAAGTCTTACAACATCGGCATCTTTTCTGACAAGCCGTTGAAATTTAGACGCAAGCTCGGTCAGGTTCTCGAGTCAATGATGTCTGTTTGATTCAAATATCTATATCTATTGTTTGATTTTTTTTAACATATAAAAATAATGATTGTTAAATGATGATTAAAATGTTTAAGTTTTCATTTGCTTAGTATTAACTAACCTATTTAAGTTTTATTTGCATAGTCCACATTTGCATGCCGTGGCAGCCTAAAATTAAGATGACGCTTAGCTTCAGTTTTATATTCATGTTACCTTAATATCCATGTATTAGTGTTTGTCTTGTTGGTTGTCCTTTTAAATAAATAAAAATAAAGAGATCATTTATCATGGTATCTTATAAATGCAAACAGGAAAATATATCTATATTTTAGAAATCGATTTTTTATGAATCGATACAGCTTACGATTCGAATCGATTTAAAAATCTATCTTTTTCGGAAAGAATCGACATCCCTACTGACGACGACAAGGACATTACAAAATGGCGCCAGTTTTATGGTAGGAATTTAACACGTTCGCTGCGGCAACTATTTGAGACATTATTCCCCCAGTGCGTTACCAGGTCTATAGGCCTTATACCTAAACTTTTCACCGGTACGTCAATGGGTCAATAAACCTGGTAAGATATGGGTCACTTCAAACTCTAATAACTCTGCGAAAACTTTTGATATTTAATATTTTTTTTAACTAGGTTATTGAGAAAAGGTAAGCCTATCTTATACTAGCGTCGCAAATTGCTCCGATGACTTATTTAGAAAATATACAGAAAAACAAACATAAGGCTTATCGACCCATTACCGCACCTAGGTAATGGTATAATTGGGATAATTTTAGTGATGGGAAATAACATAAGTACAGAAATATCGAGATCAACTTTATTTTATTATTAACTGTTATCTGTTATAGATGATTTTCGTAAAAACATTTAGCGCAATATCCCTTGTTGCACTCAGCGCAATACGATTTAATTTTTTTGGTTTTTCTTTGAGCATCTTTGCTATTTAACGTTGCACGAAGCTTATTGTAACAACCCGCACAGTTTCTTCTTTTTATCCCTTTGTTTTCGAAGGTATGATTCGTCTTTGGCATAGCAGCACATTCATTAGCTGTAATAAAATAAACAAATTAAATAATAAACCAAGAGAGGAAACGCCGTGTGAGATTGTTGCTATTTTAAAGTTAACTTTATCTTAAAACTTAACAACTAATAAAAACTAGCTTGCTCCGAGAAAAAAATATAAGGTTATTGTATCAGTATTAAATTACAGTTAAGTATTTTATTATCATTTTTAGTTATTTTTTTTTCTCAGACAGAATATCTTTACCTAGTGCTAAATATTACGGAAAAATATATTACCTGTTTCTGTTAATATCGGCACCTGAGTCAAAGCTTCAATAATTGCTTCCATAAAATTCTTCTTTGGCATTTGAACTGGTTTTCCGTGATTGTATAATACCCAGCTGTTTATTATGACTGTTCCAAATAATATCTCCATCATTACTTTTCTGAACCATTTCACGCCTCTTTTCAAGCTAGAATAATATGAAGACATTTGGTCGTTAAAATCGATGCCTTTTTTATTCTCATTGTATGTTATGACGCATTGTGGTTTTTTAATTATGTTTCCAGTGATTCGGTTCGTCTTACCTGAAAATGAGATAAATACAAGTTAAAATATTGGTAGATACAGTGTATCTATAAATTTATTCAAATTAAATTTCTCAAAATTTGTAGATTTTATCGCGGGCGGATACTAGTTTATTTATAAAAAATACTCCTAATTTCTCAAATTTTTACCTAGTTATATTTTGTTTTTATTTTTGCGTCATATGTATTTTTAATTTTTTCATTTAAATAATTATGTAAATAGCTAGTTATAATGCTTTAGTGCCAACTGTAATGCTACTTCTTCTATAAATAAATAAAACAGAAAAAATGAACTAACATTCCTATCTAAAATGACACATATATGTAATACGTACCTGTAGATTTAAGAGTCAAATTGTGATTTCGGCACGTAGAAATCATATGAACCGGTCTCTTATCTGTCCACTTTATAACTCTTACCCCATTTGGGTTCATTTTTCCTACTATTTGACCTCGTTTCAATTTTATGGATATTATTTTCTTAGGATTTCCTTTCCGATTTGGTCTCAGGGTACCACACATGAAGGTCTTTTTACGTATAAGTTCTTCCGCAAGATCAATGGAATTGTAGAAATTATCTGTTATTATTATTCTTCCATTATTTTCTAATCCTTTTATTAATCTTAATACTGTTTCCTTTCCATGATTAGTTTCTCGACCATTATCTCCTTTACCTGTATATATAATACAGTTTCTTGTGTATCCTTCTGGAGTGCAGAGCTTATATAGTTTCACTCCATATTTGTGGGACTTGTTTTTAATGTATTGGCGAAATTTCAACCTCCCTCGCCACGGAATCATACTTTCATCTATGATAAGATACCGACCTGGCTCCAAAAGGGTTTGCATTTTTTCTAAAATCTTATTAAAAGTATCCCTTATCTTTTTCAATTTGTCTGTGTCGTTAGGTGACTCTTGACTAAAATGCCAAAATTTCAAAATTAGCAGAAATCGATCTCTTGTCATAACTGAACTAATGTATTTATTATTGTAGATGTTTCTTTTCGACCAGTAATCATTTAAACGTGGTATTCTTACAAGACCCATCGCCAGTAGCACTCCTAAAAATTTTTTCATCTCCTCTGGAGTTGTGGGAGTCCAGGCTCGCAAGCGTGATTTACGCTTAAGATTACTTAGATTACTAATAAGATCTTGTGCGTAATTGTTTGTGTTTATTACCATTTGCTCAATAATTTCATCCGTTACAAATAGACTGTAAAAATCTGCTGGCGTTATAGTATTATCCGGAATGTTTGGTCTACAATTATCTGTGAATTCATCGAAATCAGGTTTTGTATCGTTAATGTCTTCCCACTCGTCAAAATTATTGTTTTCTGTACATTGAGTATTTTCAAGTATTTGAACTAATTCGATTTCAGAACTGTTTTCATAGTAAGTTATCACGCTATCATCACCATCACTATCGTCGGAGTAAGAAGAATCAGTTTCTAGGTCAGACGAGTTGGGAGCATAATTATCATCAGATGAATCGGGTTCAAAATCTTTAGCAGAATTTGCAGGAATATTCAAATATGTTAATGAACTTTGTTCATTTTGCGTTTGAGTGTCATATATTGCACAGATTTTCTCGGAAGGGTTGGGAGTATAATTGTTATTAGATGCATCTGGATTTAAATCTTTACCATAAATTGTAGAAATATTCAAATTTGTCAATGAACTTTGATTATTCTGCGTTTGGGTGTCATATATTGCACAGATATCCTCGTTGGATAGTGGGCATAATAAGGATTTTGCACATGAAATGTCACTAATAGAACTAGTCCTGCTTGTAAGATTTGATACGTTCGGAGTTACTGGGGTTTCTTTCCGTAAATTATAATATTTGCGGATAGGAGTTGCAAGTCGGTATTCAGCGTTTTCCAGTACATGAAGAGTATTGCCAGTACTAGGACTAACATAAACATCGTTTTCTGATTTTTGTATTTTCTTTCTTTTAGGCGTAAAGTCTAAATAAGTCTTTCTAACTTGAGGACTTACCCGCATTGAGGTATCGTGTAAAGTTGAACTGAAGCTAGGTTCTTGAAAAGCAATAGATGAACTGCAGCGAGGTTCTTGAAAAGTTGTAGTTTCACTGCTTGTAGAAGCTGGCTTAACAATAACATCCTGAAGGATTTGAATTTGTTTTTTTTCTTGTAAGCTGGCACTGTTATTTTGGTCCACCACTTCTTGAGCATTTTGAAAAGACAGCTCGAGCATTTTTCGACAACGTTTATTGACTCGATGCATTTTTTATGAATTGTACGCACATGCATTTGTAAAAGCTGTCAACACAACACTAATTAATTTTAACTCTTCAATCAGTGCGGTATTAGGCAGTTAGGCGTTGTACTTCCCATAAGGCCTATGGGCCTTGTATCCGCACTGAATGTCGATTTCTACTCTCCAGTGCGGTATAAGGTTGATAGGCCTGATACAAATATTATTATTTAAATGAATAGCCATTGAAGAGACGATCTTAAATATATACTTGTCTTTATCACTTATAGAGAAATCTTTAAGTTATTGCGTTCGCACCAGAGGGAGAACGCTGTATTTTCGCTCCGCACCGACTGCAAGTTCATGTATCAGGCCTATAAGCCTTGTGCCGCAGCGAACGTGTTAATATAAACATTGCAAGGATAATTAATTTTCAAATAATTTTTTTTTTCTCAAAAAGTACGCGTTTACTCATGTAAAACTTTGTGCGTGTGTGTTTATAATAATGTAATCTTTCTGTAATAATACGTATAACACCAAACTCGACGGACGTCAATGGAAAGCTAACCCAGACTGCCTATAGACGGTACCGTCTGTAGCAATACTGTCTCATTGTTGCTCATAGTATGATGTTCCGCCCACAAAGTTCCGCCCATAGGCGTCAACGTCTGTGGCCGTATTTGTTGTAACAAAAAATTAAAAATATATGTAATATGGGTAGCACGGCTGTAGATGATACGATAAAATGTAAGGGATTTTGAAGTGTCATATCATAACATTTGCAAATAGTCAAGTGTCCCAGAATGTGTTAAACATAATTTCACTTAACAATAATTTTGTTTAAACATTTTTAAATGATATTTCATAGAACCAGAATGGTGGCGATTACCTTATTCCCAGGGGTTATTTTCATTCATGTATTCCTTGATATTATAATAACCCTTTTTGTACAGTTTTTCTTTAATAAAACTTTTAAACTTGTTTATTGACAAACTTTGAACATGTTCTGGGATTTTGTTGTAAAAGCGTATACATGTGCTATTTGAACTATGTCTCTATGCTACTAAATAACTAATGATAAAGTCACTAAGCCATTAAACCGTTCCGCTATCATTTCAGTATCTACTCATTAGTCAGTACTCATAATTGAAGTGCCGTGATCTTATACTCAAATACATAGATAAATATATATGTAGCAAGCTACCACGGCTCAAATAAAAATCATTGGTGATTTTGTCATTGTTCCCGTCATCGAAATTTTTTTGTCATTGTCATGCAGTTACCAGATGAAAAAATCAAAAGTCCGCAGAAAAGGCCAGATTTCCATTGAAAAATCCTGAGATTTTTTTAAAGTTTGAGAGTTTTCTCACCAACGTACTTAACAATTTAAAAAAGTCATAATATTATCTTTTTTATACACTGTGAATCTCGTTCACGCGTTGCACATCGTACACAAAGGGGGTGGGGGTGGGGGGTAATCGCTCTTATCAGAACAGTGTCGCACGCTCACTCTGTTCCACCCCATTGTTTTAACCATACTCAAGTAAATCATCATCATCAATCAATCTCAATCTAAAATAAAATACTCAATACCATGTTTTAACTATTTTCCAATAGGTATTACACGATTACCAGAGATAATGCTTATTTGTCCATATATTTTTGCAATAACAGCCCAGAATGCAAACGTACAAAGATTTTTTACTATTATAGGGACTCAATGGTCGAATGAAAAAACCGACTAGAATAGAAAAGAATAGAATAATTTTTTATTCAATATTAATTATTACATAATACTTATTGAACGTCATTTTTTATTTACCTTATTTACATTATTTAGGTTCAGAAAATACGAAGAACAAAAAACAAAAGGACAAAAGTCCTGGGAAGAACCAGCAAGAAACCCAGCGAGACTTTTTTTTCAAACATATTTCACTTAACAATAATTTCGTTTATACAATTTTTAAATGATGTTTCATAGAACCAGCATGGTGGCGATCACCTTATTCCCAGGGGTTATTTTCATTCATGTATTCCTTGATATTATAATAACCCTTTTTGTACAGTTTTTCTTTAATAAAACTTTTAAACTTGTTTATTGACAAACTTTTAATATGTTCTGGGATTTTGTTGTAAAAGCGTATACATTGCCCCATAAATGAATTACTGATTCTGTGGAGTCTAGTAACTGGCATTAAAGCTTATGTTTGTTCCAAGTGTTTAAAGTATGCACATCCTTATTCTTATTAAAGCTATTTATGTTTTTATGTACATACATTACATTTTCATAAATATATTGCGATTCTAAAGTTAATATGTTTATTTCTTTAAATTTTTCTCTGAGGGACTCCTTAAAATTTAGGTTATAAATCGCCCGAACGGCTCTCTTTTGCAAAACAAATATAGCTTCAATATCAGTCGCATTACCCCATAGCAAAATTCCATAAGACATTACACTATGAAAGTAACTAAAATACACTAATCTAGCTGTCTCAACATCTGTTGCAACATCTTACAGCATATGCTGCAGAACTAAGTCTGCTTGCTAATTTAGATATATGGGGGGCCCATTGAAGTTTTGCGTCAATAGTAATACCGAGAAAAACAGTGGTATCCATAAGACTCAACTCCTCCCCATTTAACAGCACATTGGTATTCGAATATTTTACATTAGGTATTGTAAATTTAATACACTTTGTCTTATTGCCGTTTAAGAGCATATTGTTGGCGTTAAACCAATGTACTAATTTCGATAGAGCATTATTTACATCGTCATATTTAATTGACTGATTAGTTTGAAAATTAAAAAGGTATCGTCAGCAAATAATACTATATCGTGATTGTCCCCTACAAGATAAGGTAAGTCATTAATATAGCTTAAAAACAGGAATGGGCCAAGAATCGAGCAATGAGGAACGCCCATTGATACTACCGATCCGGAGGAACCTTTACCATTGATCACGACTTTTTGAGTTCTGTTACTTAAATATGAAGTAATACGTCTAAGTGCCAAATTTTTTACACCGTAATGTTGTAGTTTCCTGATTAATATCTCATGATGAACACAATCGAAAGCCTTGGAAAGATCATAGAAAATACCTAAGGCATCTTGTGAATTCTCCCAGGCATTAAAAATATATTTCATAAGCTATATATTCAACACCGGCGCCAGACGTCGAGCGACCCTTTGTAAAACCAAATTGGTTTTTATGTAGTAATTTATTTGTATTAAAAAAAATAACAATCGATCCAAAATTATTATTTTTTTAATTTTACTGAGAGTTGGTAGTACAGAAATAGGTCTAAAATTAGCGGGGTCCAATGTACTACCAGATTTAAATCGATGCAAGTATTAAAAATAATAGCAAGATGAGGTGCAATTAAATCTATTATGGGCGCAATAACTGTAACGGAAATCCCCCACAAATCTGCGGTTTTCTTTACATCAATGGTTTTGAAGTATTTTACAATATCTTGCGGTAATACTTTTTTAAATCTAAATTCTTTTAAACAGGTATTAACATTCTGTTTGAGTAATGAATCGGCGACAGTTGGAGAAGTGTTCAATAACTCTGTTATCAAGATTGGAATATCTGTGAAATATTTCTCAAACACAGCTGCGACTTCTTGATTTGATTTAGTCAATTCATTGTTAATTTTTAATTGATAGTTTGAGTTACGAGGTTTGTCTTTACCGGTTTCGCTGTTGTTACGATGTCTTCAGTTCGAGCCCTACTTTTAATTCAATACAAGTTGAAGAGTTTAACATGTGGGGCATTTTTAAATCAATACTTAAAGAAAAAAAACCTTACTTAAAAAGGTACCTTCACATATTAAGTATGATAAAACTGTTTAAGTACCTATTTGAATAAATAAGTTTTGATTTTAATTGTACAATCATTACCAAAGGAAGATTATTTTTAGTTTTGTTAACTTTTTATTGTATTGAAAATCTAAAAATCCTGAGATTTCATGACATTTGAAAAATCCAGCCGCAATCCCGAGAAGAGTCCGAAAATCCTGAAATCTCAGGATAAATCCTGAGATATGGTAACCCTACATGCAGTCATTGATACAAAAAAATCATCACTCAGCCCATCTCCAATACTGACTCGGTCGTGGTCTATACAGTCGTTATATAGGGCCTCAGATAGTTTCCAAAACCTTAGTAGAATTATCTAGAATGTTCGAATACATATCGGTCCCGAAATTTCTAGAAGGATATTGACTCTCCTAGTTCTGCTACTCGATACTAGAGGGCACTAGTGGTAACTAGTGTTGCCATGTAGAAGACAGTAATGGTGGCGCGCTACAATACTTTGTATATTTATTTTAATATAACAGACATATTTTTAATAATATTTTATAATTGAAGTATGGAGTGTAGAGGTAAGGAGAACCATCTCATATGGTGAAAAAGTTGAAAAAGCGTCCAACCGTATACTGAGAATAGAGGTTCCAAAACCTACCACAATAGCGCTGGTATCTGAAAAACTACGATATGAACATTGTTGTAGAAGGAGTGAAATGTGCTGAGTTCAAATATTTCAAAATTCTTAATGACTAGAATACTTATTTATTAAAATGCCAGTACCTTTACAAATCCTCAACTATTTACGTAGTCTAAAATAATTAAGTAAATATAATCAAAAAACTGTTGTGAGAAAACGTGATTTTATTAGTGTGACTTTTTTTAAATAATTATTAGTGATTTTTATATATATTTTTATTGTGGCGATAGTTATAAAATTAAAATAATTGAACAATGATGGGAAAAATTTGTATTGTGAAAAGTTGTCCAAGTGGACGTAAACCTAAAAACTACAAAAATGCTTCCCCTCATCTTTTGTCTTTTTTTCGTCCTACTATATTATGAAGAGTAATTTATTTTGAATTATTTATTTATTTTACGACACCTTGAATGAGAAATCGAATTTAAAATAATTCAATCCATGCGAAGTTTATATTCATATAATATTTAACTCCTTGTTTATTTCTTCATCTTATTCTAATTACTTTTGGCGCTTTTTTAATTTATCCTATGCTACCGCAGCGCCAACCTTATTGGACGCATTTTACGGACACTTATTCATACACAGAGATGGTTTTCCTTACCTCTACACTCCATAGTTAAATATTATATTTGGCGTTAATTTTAAATTTGATGTATCTTACAACTTAACCACCCTTTTCGAGTAATACAATAATAGGTCTGTGATATACATAACCATATTGA